ACACAGTTCTTGGATCGTGGACACAGGCCTTAAGACAAGTATATTTTTTCTCATTCTATAGCTTACTGCACTAGTTCACCAGTGCAGGAACAGAAAACCATGGTGGAAATACATAAGGTGTGCTCGTTACCGATACCAATTTTCGTCCGGTTCTGCGCAGCTCCCAAGCGTCTCCATTTTAAGTCGATATATCGATACCTGGGAATCTGCAACGGTGTCTATATTGTCTATATTTATGGGTTGCTATAGCAACCCATAGAATGGACACCAGACTCCTACATTTAAAAAATATACTTTGTCAATAAATATATATGGAAACTGAAATTAAAAAATAATCGTTGCGCGAAAACGTATAAAATACATATTACTCTTTGCTTTTTATATTTCCACACAATAAATGCACTAGATATATGACTTTATAACTGCTTATAGAACGCTCGATTTGATTTAATCGCCACAATATGGACACCGTTGGGAGCAACTTCTCATTGGCTGTTCAAAACGATGCGCAAGAGCACACCTTATGTATTTCCACCATGCAGAAAACAAGCCCATTATGTATGTACTCACATGGCTGCTACAGGCAAAACGAGTCGCAGACCATGTGCTCACGCGTGGAGTTTCGAAAGATAAGGTTCACATAATTTTCAATTAAATATATTTGTGTACATTTTTTACGAGCGTGCGAAACCCGGTCAAAATGAAGTTGGTCGAGGAGGAGGTCCAAGTGGTTAAAGAGGTCAAGCTTGTGGATGCGAGCGCTAACCTCGCCGGTCTGGACGGTTTAATTATGAAGAATACGAAAGGCGGCGGAAAAATGATTGTCAAGAGGAAAGGCGGCGGAAGTATAATTGATCAGCGCCCGCTCTTTTCTACCGATGGAGAGTAAGTTTACTTTTATTCTCCACTTCGAGCTTCGTTTTACTCTCTTAGGCCTGGTTTTTCCATTTTCTAGTTAACTGGTAACTACAAGTTAGTCGACTCTCCGTCTCTTTCTATATTATTACCTAAGGAGGCATTGTTTTCTTTTCAGAACCCTTCATATAGTCTGGAAGAATGTCATAAGGGCATACAGCACACAAACGGGAGACTTTGTGCGGGAGTTTGAGCCCTCGGAGTACAGAATTGCTGGAATAATAGCGCATCCAGATAACGCCAGTGTTATTATCGGTTGTACCGAGAATGGTGAACTGCATTTCTGGAATTGTCAGAGTGGCATCATCACTAAGAAATTAGTAAGAACTTGAACTGTTATTCTGCCAGCTAACGTTTCTAGTTTTAAGTACTTTCAATGCAGGGCTGTACAGCAAATGTGCAATGTGTTTATAATTCATATATTTGGCCTCTTTACTACTCGGCTCTTTGGTCTCTCGCAATCAATTCCTTCGCTTTGTTGTCGCTGTTAGATTTTTAAGTATTAAATAATATACGATGGTGTTTTTGCAGCAATTGAAATCTTCTCTCACAACGGGCAAAGCAAAAATCAAAACCTTTCACATTGTGAAGTACAGAATGGCTCAAGGAAATGAGATATGTCAAGTGCTAGTAACGCATTTCTCTGATTGCGGGAAGAAAATATATGTACTGTTATTTGATATAGAAACTGGAATGTGCATAAAATCAATATTTATCTTGTAAGAAGTATCTTTTACTAAAATTTTCTATCAAATTTTGCGACAGTCGCGGAGGGATAGCTCAGAATTTTTATAATTTATTGTCTATTCTTTTAGCGCAAACTCACAAGAGTATTATATCGATATAATTGGGAATTATGGAGAGAATTTAATAGCGCTTTTACACGACGTAGATTTGCACATATTAAATCCAGCTAGAAACTTGGTCGATAAAATGTAAGATATTTTTGGATTATTATACATGATATTTGAAATATATAAATGTATTGAAAATATTACCAATTTTTAAAATGCTTAATCTCAATGTAGACACAAGACTGGCAAAACTGGTAGACTACCTACTTGTATAGCGGGACATCCAGAGGAAGAATGTGTTGCCACGGGGGATTCTACGGGTCGTGTAGTGGTATGGAAAAGTTTATTCCAGACTAGACCGTATACAGCTGTTTTTCACTGGCATACATTACCGGTTACAGAAATAGTGTTTAGCAAGTCAGGTAAGATGGAAATTTATAATTTATTTTTTACACTTACGAGATGTCTTTCGCAAACGAAGCATTTAATATGGCACACTTTGTTTCAGGTGGCCACATGTATACAGGCGGTGGCGAGTGCGTATTGGTAAAGTGGACTTTAGCGAATCCACAACATAAGTCATTCCTTCCACGATTACCGGCGCCTATCAAACATCTCACTATCGCGCCAGATAACTTGTATGTTGCTGTATCGACTTTAGACAATGGTAAATTATTTTCATTGCGAAAGTTGCAGCTCGTTTAACAGCGGATTCATGACAACTAATTCACATTTCGGTTATGACAGGTATTGTAATTGTAAATCCTCAAAGAAAAATGACGTCAGTTATACAAAACTTTACGTGGGGCGTCGCTTCGTCGTCCAAAGATTTATTTCCTGCAGGGCTTATTGTTGACCCGAGAACAGGTTGTCTCGTTCTAAATAGTCGTACCGGACATGTACAATTTTACAACACACATACTAAGAATCTGTTATACAATGTGAGTAACACGTTTGTCATATGTTAAAGTTAGGTCCCGGACGTTCGGGCGGTTTCTCAAGTAACATTTCAATCGTCTTTCTTTATCGACCGCCGAATCTTTTCGGGAAATGTTCCTATCTCACTTTAGCGACAATCTGACTCGCACACAGCGATACTTACTGAAGAGAGGTAGCAACACTTTTCGGAGAGATCCATTTGGAGAGACGCTCCTCAATCATTCAAATTGATGAGCTCGATTGGCGTGCGATCTGAACGTACATACATATGTACATAAAGCGCGGAAAGGATTTTCTATTAACAATGAGATTGATAAAATTAGGATTATAAGTTAAGCGAGCGCGCGCGCTAAAAAGCGGCCCGAACATCCGGGCCCTAGTTAAAGTAATATGAAAAGAAAATTGGAGTAAGTAAACAAAGAAATAGTGAAACTGACAAATGTTTCAGATTAATATTACTGCTCAAAATTTTTTAACTCAAGAACGCAATGCAATTATTGTAAATACAGAAGTTACAAAAGTAGCTGTGAATCATAATGGCACATGGATGGCAACAGTCGAAGAGCGAAATGATAAAGTCTCATCTATAGAAGTTAGATTAAAATTCTGGCTTTACGATCTGAAAAAGCAAATGTAAGTATACATAAATCTATATTACTATATTTGTTTAGACTAACAACTGTTGATATACGATTTGTTAACATTTTAGATTTGTATTAAATACATCCATTGAATTACCTCATGAGAATGGAGTAAATGCACTACATTTTCAACCGGATACAACATTTGACGATGGAGAATGGTTAGCAGTTACCACTGGGAAAGATGATAAATTTAAATTATGGAGTTTAGGAAAATCCTTCGCTACAGAAGGTATATTTTTAAAATACTTAATCTAAATGCAGACACAAGACTGGCAAAACTGATAGACTACCTACTTGTATTATCTATTTTGTGTTTAGTGGAATATTTGATATAATTATATTTGTTATAGATAAAGATACCAAACATTGGTATTGTTATGGGGTAGGAGACTATCGCAATCTAGCTGCTACAGACGCTGGGTTTTCAATGGATGGTTCGTTATTAGCTATTGGTTTTCATTCTACCTTAACTTTATGGATACCCGAAACATGCGAATTAAAATCCAGTCTTACACATTCTCAATATAACTATCCAATAACGTAAGTCAATAAAATATATTCTATAATTAGTAATGAATATATTCTTAATTAAATGTATAATTGTAAAATGTTTACAACAGACGAATAGAATTCGGCAAACACGAGGCCTGTCACCTTGTTGTGGTCGTATCTCAGCAGCACATAACAGTTTGGAATATTTTAACTCTCGCTATAACATGGACCGTATCCCTGAACGTCGTGAGTCTCGCGTGTGACCTAAAATCTACATACATAGCAGCATTTACATCTGACAATTCATGTTAGTAGTACAGTATATAAATGCTTCTTCGTTATATGCTATTTATTTCAGTGCCAAAGGAATAATCCTTGGGAACTTTATTTTAATATATTATGCTATTTTTTTATGTATAACAAACACGCGTAACATTCATATCATTATATATTTTTATCCTAATTTTATTCTAGTATGTTTTTAATATAAAGATCATTCACTTGCTTTTAGTGTACGTGTTTACGCCACAAAGTGCAACACCCGTTTATAAGAAAACATGCCTTATCGAAAATACCAGTTCTGTATTAGCGGCTACTTTTGTACCTCATCTGCAAGAAAAACGTGATCCTTCCTTTGGCCACTGGCAACGAAAATCGCAACTCTTCTTTTTGGATTCGAATCAGGTACAGTGTGCAAACAAATTTATCAATTTAATTGTGTAATGTTTGAATGTTAATTTGGGATGTAAGTGTATATTTTATTAGCTATTATTGTATTCTGTTTAGGAATTGCTCACATTGGAACCAGAATCTGAAGCAAGTGTTTCTTTAGAGATTATTTCGGATAAAGGAACCATGCCACTGACTGCCTTTTCCAACCTTATAGCGGCTCAAACGTCTTCGAGTAAAGAGCAGACTGTCGCGCAAGTTCATGAACATCTTGGTACACCAGGAAAAGGAATGTTAAAAGAGGTAGGTGGAGATAGAATTTTGAATTTTAATATTTTATCAAATTTTTATGCAAAGATTCCTTCAAGTCGCATTTTGTCTATACATTTTCTAAAATTGGAGAAAATTTTCTTTCAAAAATAAATATATTGCAATCAAAATTAATTAAAAATGGTATTATAATCTATAATTTTCTGTTGTATTATTCAAATATTTGCGACTTTTAGGGGTCTTGATAAATTCTTTACACATCGTATATCAGCTCTTGCACGATATGTCTATTAACAAAATATTATTTTTTGTTGAATAATATAAGAAAATTTCATTATATTTGAGATCAAATTTACATATTAAGTAAACAAATAAAGACAATTTTTAAATAACTAAGGGTTTAATAAACTTAAATAAATGTAAAAAAATTAGCATATTGTATGAAAGATAATACAAAAAATTGTTTCAATAATTTGTTTTGAATGCTTCGTGTAAAATTTAGAATCAGTACAAGAATCGAAGTTTCTATGTTATCTAATGCTTATCTAAATGAAGAGAAGAAAATTCATCAATAAAAATAAAAGAATATAAAATGTGATTTCTCGTATCATGCATTGCACTTAATGTGGATTTCTTTAACAGAACAATATAATTCTAAATTATTTTTGTTCTCTAACATAAATGCCTTTACGTGTGTGGATGTCTGTATAATCTAATTGAAACTAATTTAAATAAACTTAAACTTGTTTAGTCTAACGACTTGAAATGGCGTGTTCTGCACAATCGGACGACGAAATTTGCCATAAAGTATAGTAGTTGCCAATCGTGGATCGTATTGAATGTCCATTTGTCAGTGCCTTCTTCCTAAGCGATAATTCCGACAGCGACGAACAAAATCGAATTTTCTATAGCGGAGACAATGCCATTGCGGAATCTGCCTCATGTTCTCGATCGCCTGCAAATTGTATAACTTAAACAGAATTATTAGGATTATTGAATAAAAAATGGAAAAATGATCAGCATAAGAGATTAGTAAAAGTGCGAAAAGGGGGAAAAAAAGAAATTATTCTATGCAATGACCAGTCGCATTAATCGAAATCAGGTCGGACAGCTAAAAAGATTAAAAGCCATTGAGATCTTGACGAAAAGTCTTCCTGTTTACAAGATCACGTACCACCTCATGACTCAATGTGGCTGGACACATCATCGCACTCTCGGGCAAATAAAGATTGGTTTAACGAGGAACGTTCAATGACCAACGTCCACTCGTACTTTCGACATTACCATGTACATCCCACGTGCTTACAATGGAGAAAATATGCGTTGCCTTTTCTTCTAATTGACGCCCAACGAGAAAGGGGAACTTTATGCTTGTGCGTCACTCGCGTGTTTTGCATTAGCAAAATTCCGGCGGTACAAAATATTTCGGCATAATTTCCAACTACATCATTCTCAATATTGATATCGGCTCCGTTTAATGACCGAGATATTGCATATAAAAACACTTACTGCTTCGCTGTTACTGGCGGGATATCCGAAGGCGATCACTGCGAGTAGTAGCGTTGTAAACAGGCACGAAACCAATTTTAATGCAATCAGCTTCATTCTTGACACCGGCTCTCTTTCCGGCGAGATACCTAAAAAGAAAGGTAGCCTCGACTTTGGATTTTTCCGAGCCTTCTTCTTCTCAATTCTTTTCAGCCTACTCAGTCTTCTCGATCGACGATTGTAATCAGATCGCTCTTCCCAAACAGTTTCTTCACCGAAAAATGCGAATTAATCCAAATGTCTGTGTTAAAATTTCCCACAGAGCTATGTCAAGTGGTTTTACCCAGTCTTTGTCAATGATTGTACAATGGGGGCAAACGACGAACCGACACGATGCAACTTGAAGATGGTCCGCGGAAAAATATTTGCTAGTCCTTGTAACAGGCACGGAGCAGATCCTTCATGTGTGTTCCAACGCTCCGCGAACGACTGGCTTTCAGCACAAGTCTCGCCATGATTTAATATAGAGACTCCCACCCTCTCACGGCGTTCCAGTTGTCCCTTTAGGACGGCTGGACAACAGGCGAACTTGGCTGGAAATCCTGCCTCTCACGTCATAATCGTTGTATTGCGAGCTCTATCGCTTCGGCACCGTAGCATTCATACGTACATATGTATATATATTTTAGTTTATTTTGACGGGATTATCAGTCGTCTTGTCTTTTCCTCGCGTGGGCGGCAAGTTGGCCTGGCAAATTGAACAGTGTGAGGTAGAGTTGTATTGGAAAAAGCAGATAAGGGCAAATGTAACATGCATCGCATTCGTATCGAATAATTAATCCGCCGTGCCGAAAATAAAGTCGTAGAAGTATCTCGCCGAGGAATTTATTGAAAGTAGTTATGCGCGCGAGACGTAACGTGTTCTGCTGCTATCAGAAACGAACGTGTTAAAAGTAGCTTCGTCCGTCGCTATTCATCCCCGGTGAAAATGGTACGCGAGGTACCATTTTCATTTCAAATGCATGGTCTTGAATACGATTGGCCTTGAGTAAGGTATCATTGAACTTGTTGCAACGTCTGCTGCAACGCTGCTCGTTTTACCTTAATTAAAGCTCCAATTTTATTTGGAATGTTTCGGGGAAATATTTCCTAGTAAAATTAAGCGAAATGAGAAAGTCTTTTTTCAATGACGCCTTTCTATAGCGTATACATAGTTCAAATTCAATAATCTCTCATTTATGACTCTGTGCCCAAAAATTAAGATCTGAATATCTTCGGTGGCTCGGTTTCAATTTTTTTTCTAATTATCTACAGCGATAGGCTATAGATCGGTAGAAAAGTAGCATCGGGCAAAAAGTATGATCCAAAAAGAAGTAAAATATAATATTGAAACAATGTCAGAATTTCATCTGGACAAATATTGATCTTGTTGTAGAATTAAAAAATCATCCGATATCTAAGGAAACGATAATGCTTCCATCGTTTGATTTTCAAAATGTTTCGCCGCATCGATTACAATAGGACAACCTGCGCGATGCTAAAATAGCGAACGACGCTGTCGCAGAACTGTCTGGGATTGCTTGGAAAAGTAAAACCAGGCCAGCAGGAACAAAGTCTTATCTTCTTCGCCGACCGTCTCGATTGTTGCCATTGATACCTGCTAATAAAATACCACACCGATACAGAGGGCAAAGTTTAGATCAATCTGTCTCATTGACATATCACTATCAATATTTCGTAACGATATTTTATTATCACACGATACTTGTAATTTTCTTTAAGAGAATTAAAATTTGTTACATATCTTACGATATTTATTCGTGAAAATCTCGTTTACGAGGATTTCATATTAAGTTTCTTTATTTATATTCTTAGTATCCATTGAGATAATAATTTTAACATTTATTTACACTTCTGAGCCACATATACCAATTACAGCCCGTTGAGATAGTCGCATTAAATTGACCGGAAGATGAGACACGTCCTTCGATGCTAAAAATAGCGTTTTTGTGTCAAAAATAGACTAGGATATCTTTTTTCCACGTTTCACGTATTGTTATACGCGCAAGCACTTTACTAAGTACCTAACTAATAACTGCGTTGCGTCATAAACATCAGACCTTACGCTTGGCAATTGGCCTAATTATAGTGACAATAAATTACATTCTCCGGCCGTCTCGGCCGTTTTTCGTATGAACAATTTCGCGGACATTGTCGTCACAGTTCTCTGAAATTGACTGAACTGACCGAAGTCGTAATCGACAGTCGCGTCATCCTAAAAATGAGAAATGCGGAAATGTGTGTGAGTGTGGTACAAACATGGCCTAAATGCATCATATTGTCAACAATATAATCGCTGCCACTTAAAAGAGATGCGCTAAGAGAAGGTTTTCCTTAAAATATTTTTATAAAACAAGTATTAAGTCGAGCACAATCTCACCAGTCTTGTATTTATCTGTTAGAGTATTCACTTGTTTGAAAAGGTAGCCGCTTTCAACGGGCGAATATTCATCGACGAGATTAAAGCTGCATTTTAAGTTTTATGTTACAATACGCATAGATACGCACATTCGTCGTTAAAGTGTACACGTTGCGGAGAATATTCGTGTGGGTTGCAACAGACGACTCAACCTAGATCTGAAGTAGAAGATTGCAGGAATTGCACAAATTTCACTTGGAGGTGTGCTGTGTGTCAGCTTTAAAATTAATTAGCCGGTCGTCTGACCGACCGATTATCACGAGTTCCACATACGTGGCAAACCTATCGCGTTGGTACAGACGCGTTCTGTTAATGTCCACATCTGCACATTACATTTGTTTTTTAATCGATGATTGCGCAGAGTGCATTCGCTTATAGACGCTTAACATTAATCATCATTCTTGTTTTCCAGCTACTTAGCGTGCCCGCTCACACTTTGCCGCCGCTGCGATTGCTGTGTACGCCATTTATTTTGTCTCTGGCGGGACAATCCTCAAAAAATCATCCCAGAAATGCCGAGAACTCCAAGTATGTAAAATTATCTGGTGCAAGTTACATATGTTAAAATTGTCGTACTTAAACATTGCGTATTGATTTATTCGTTTAATTTCCAGAGACAACGATGACGGTGCTCAGGATAATGCTTCAGATCTAAGTGAGAACGAAGTGTCACCGCCGGCGAAGCCCGCGGTAACGCCGACAAATGAGAAAGAGGACACGGATAACGATGACAACGACGTGAAACTTATCGATATCGATTGGTCCTTCCTGTCCAATATACTTCCCGATCAAGACAATATTCCTTGATTCCTTGATGATGTAAAACTTGCCGTGCAAAACTACGACGGTAAGATAGAATTTGTCAGTTTAATGAGCACTCCCGTAAAATGAAATATGTAACAAATGTACAAAGTATGTTGAAACATTAATTTGAAAGTGCGTGAGTGGAGTATGTGAAATATAGGTGAAATATATCTTTTTAAGACGGCTTTGGTAACTGGTCCAATCGCGCGGCGAGTTCGGCTAGTTCGATGACAGCTTCGCTGATCCTTCTTTTGTAAACCGGATCTTTCTCCATGTTTGAGAGAACAAACTCTTTCCTGTTTCGAAAATAATACTCTGCGTAAGACGCCGGGTTGTTCATAACCCGCGCGCTAAGATTCTCGTCCATTAGAACCGTAGGAAAGTAGATTATCGCGGTAATAACGGCGCCTAGACGTTGTTCCTCCATACCTTGGATCAGCTCTGACAATGGGGGTGTTTGCGTATGGATTCCGTGTATATTCAGGGTCTCGCGCAGCATATCGTAATAATGACGCAACATCGCGCTCTCCCAGGTCTCTCGGAAGCTCCGATCCGTGCACAGATACAAAAACTGTGCTACGTCGTGCGCCAAAGGAGAGTACCTCAACAGCTGGAAGTCCACTAGTAAGCATTTAAGTGGCACGTCGTTATTGAAGAGAAGATTGTTGCCCCAGAGATCCCCGTGACTGACTACGTTCGCTTTCGTGCGTGATGGCTTCACAGCGTGATACACCTGCTCACAGGCCGATCGTATTAGCTCGGGATTGTGTCCTAGACGCTCGGCTACGACCGCGGCCGTGTCGATGCCCGATTGGAACCACTGCCACGTCATTCCCTCGTGAACGAAGGCCTTCTCCGCGAAAGCCTCAGGATGTAGCCGGTTCAAGGCTGTACCGAGGCGGGTCTCCGCCAGTAGAGAGGCGGCGTGCAGTCGCGCAAGAGCGCTCAAACCCGCACGCACGAGCGTCTTGTCGAATAGCTTGTCCCGCATGGAGTAGTCCTTGCTGCTCAATTCCTCAAAGACTATTGAATCGCTCTTTACTTTGTAACACCTCGGCGCCCACGGTTCCCCGCGATATCCCTCGCAGAGCAACGGCATTATGACGTTGTAAAACCTTGTCTCTTGCTCAAAGACACCCTTTTTTATCACGTAGTCAGCTTGATCAGGTACCTCGTAAGGTATGGTCTTGAGAAAGAACGAGAGAGCAACGGTTTCCTTTTTCCTCCTGGCTATTATATCAAGCCGATAATGAGAGCCGAGATATCCGAGCTTGCCGCTGGAGTACGGTCGAATAGCATATTTTATCAGATCAGCGTCACTGCTCAGCGCGCCTCTCGCCACCTCCTTCACTTCTTCGAAAGAGAGCAATTTGTAAATGTCATTGTTCTTAGCGACATTGGTTTCCATTTCAAGATATTGATTTATTCACGTATCGGACAACCGTATTCTTCCCGTAAACGGGACTTTCGGCTAATTGAGACTACCGGGACCAATTAGTTGGTCCTTATATACTCGTCGCGTGTGCGTCGCCGGTACATTGTATTAATTTGTCAACCGATTCTTCTGCATATGCATATATGTATAACGTAACATATTTCCATCAAGATATCTTCCGATAAAAGCTCTCGTCACATGACATTTTCAGAGTGGTGCCACCAAGTTAAGCCTAACAATCTATGCTAAAGTCATCTACTTGTTATACACCGTTCTATTCTTATTTCATACTAAAAGCAGTACCAGTTGTCGATTCTTTCATTACGATGAACGAACGGTAGTAACATTATATTAATGTTATAATTTCCCACTCAACAATGTAACTGTTATATACGCAACACGTGATATATTACACTTGTATTGAGTGGGGAAATTATATTATCGATGTAATGCTAGTTGGTGTTCATCGGGAGATGAAAATGTCTATCGCGACAATCCTTAATTAATTTGATGGGATGCACGCACAAATATACGGAGTTGGTGCTTTAGAGATTCACAACTACGAGAGAATATTTTTGGACTACTGTAAAGTTCTTTATACCAGTGATAAATCTTGATGCTGTCAACGCTGACTCGTTGCCGATAAGACATCGACGATGTCTCGGCGCGAAAATGTCATGGCATTTGATCAAAATTTATCTCAGATGTTGCAACGCCGTAAATATCGTGAAATCCAAGCGTGCGAAATCCGAAGCCTTGTTTCATCTTTGCTTTTTGATATCCTTTACATCTGGTAATTGTTGAGCGTATACAATACAAAATTCGAAAGATAATATCGCATATCTTGAATAACACTTTACGCGACAAGTTTTGAATTTAATAAGAAAACTGAGAGAACTGAAACACAAATTAGTATATAAAAGCAGGGATTAAAATCGATAATGATTTTTTTTTAGAAAAAAATCATGTCATGACTTTGATTTTTATTTTCCATTTTTAAAAATTATTTCTTGATTTTCATCAAATTGCAACTTTCATTTCCTAGTCAGTTGCTTTAAAAATCACACCGTGAGAGTTACTTTTGAAAGAAAAAAAATCACTGAAAAATTTGTTTTAACAATACTTAACTGTTATATTCAATCCCTGCATAAAAGTATGAATATAAATATGAGCTGTCGTTATAACGGCGTTAGAATTTTGTGGAAGTTGAATTAATTCTACGCTTGAGACAGAAATGAAAGAAGATGAAGAATTAATGAAACTTTCGTTTATCTTCGCCACAGCTGTATTTAATCGACTTTAAACACTTGAGGAACGAAGCGACGATTAATTGGCGCGAGCCTTGGCACGTTCGTGACGATATCGTTGACAAAATTGCCATGCTTTGCCGGTGCGGTTGAAGCGCAAAAAAGCGCGACGCTCCTCCTTGACCCGTATGCAGCGAATTCGTCGTCGAGCAATATCCCACGCGTATTTCTTAAACGGCGGCTAAAATTCAATGTCGTTCCGCGCGCATCCTCGCGCGAACGTCTCATTTTCACGCCTGTACGAACGCGGCGAATGGAAAGGAAGGGAAGATCGCGTTCTCCACTCCTCGAGCTATTCGTACATCGAGATTCTTTGTTTTTAATCCATCGACGTTAAAATTAACCTTGAGTCTTTATAATTGCGACCCTCCAAGTTTCCCCTCTTGATTTATGCCATCCTCTACTTTTGCCAACTTGCCGAGAATTCCAAAGTTTTGGAGATCTAACTTTGTAATTTAAATTTTCAGAGTTGTAATTAATAGCCATTTGTCCGAGGTTCCGTCTGTTCAAATATTATACGTATATCGAGTGGCGCCAATTTGTGAAAATATTGGGAGGGAGAGGCGAGCGTCTTAAATAATAACTTGATTATTTTTTAATAGCCTTTGTTTAGGGAGGAGGGGTGGAAGTATACTCGTACAGATGTAGATTGTACTTGTATGTTTTCATTACATTAAGTTTTCAAGGTACGAGCAAGATCCAGTGAGAAATAATTTGTCGAAGCGATGTCGCATCGCTGGGGAGAAATTGTTCACGTGCTTCTTGCTAGAACACGTTCAATTTTTCAACAAGTAAAGTAAACGTTAAAATTACTGGGGCGACATATCTCGACAATGCTTTTATTGAGGGAGCAAATGTTACCCCGCAAAGTCGGCGTATGATAATGTCGATTTATTTCGACCAATAAAGTGGCTGCGATTGCCAGCGTATGATATTTTTATTTTGTATTAGACATGTACGTTCTATATAAAATCGTAAAAGTGACAGTAATCCCGGATTATTGGTTATTCAAATGGAGCACGTTTCGCGTTATATTGAACGGGTCTTTTTCTTTTTATTAAAAGAAATAAATTACAAGTAGTTTCTCTTTGAATGTGTCGGCGACCTCTCGTTGCAGAGGTACGTATCCATACGATTAGAATCAATAATTCTAGCGCGGTTGAAATGTCGGCAGTCGGTTATATTGTGAATCGCGAGAGTTACCTAAATTATCGTCGGCGAGGACGCTGCGATTTGCGATTACGTTTGCGTACAATCCTGCGTTTAATGTGAACTAAAAAGAAATATTGTCCAAAATACAACAAAGTTTGTAATTTGGTCAGTTGGCTGATTAATGTTTCTCACGAGGCAGAATGTTTGCTTCGATCCAATCTTATCTCGGAGCACGTGCCTGCGGATCGAAGAGACATTAGGATAATTTTGAATATTTAATAGTAGGGATTACAAGAAAGAGGAAAAGTCTGACGCGATAAAGATTGTCGTTAAATTACTATCTGTTTATTATTTCGCCGCGGTACACCCAATGTGTAATCAAGTGCGATCGGCACATGGCGCGTGTTTTCACTGGCAAAGTGCAAGTAACTTTCAGGCTCGTTACATTCTGACTCAGAGACTCTTTCGAGCGATATACGACGTGCAAGAAAAACAGATCGGCTTGATGAATTCTCTCACCGGCACGGTGCAATTATTATTAAATTCGACGATATTATTAGTAGGACGCCATCTCTCTCGTACAAATTACAAATGTCGGATGAAAATTTTTGCACTCGAATCTTTTCTCTTGCGTAAATTTGTATTTATACAAATTTTTAATTCCGCGCCTCTATGCTTTTTTACAACGTAAAATCGCTTGTTACGCAAGGATGATAATTGTTGCAGGTGTTTCCGCCTAGAGTCCCGACAGAAATTGCGTCGAGAATGTCGCCGCGAGTGCTTCGCGTTACGACAAATTGATTTGGAAGGATTTAGGAGCGTGATTTCTGAAAAACGCCGCAGGCTATCGCGGGCTTTAATGGCTCGAGTGTAAAAAGTTGAAGAAAATGTGGCTAGGAGAAACAAAGCTTTTAATGTACCCTTCAGTTCCCTTCTTCATCTTGTGTGACAACTACTCTATCGCTCGTTTCTTCTGGAGACACGTTTTATTTGCTTTCTTTTCTCTCCTCCGCTTGTAAAGTACGTCGAGTGTCTCTGAAAAAGATGTCCTCGAGGAAGATGATTCGGGTAGGATGAGCTCGGTGGTAGCTCTGGTAGCTCGCAATAATTTCGACAAATATTCAACTTGTACTCGACGAGATAAATGCTGTGGAAAACAGCCGCGAGATAGGTAACAAAGCGCAACGTAGCGTGACGTTGCTGCTGAGTCACGCGATGAATCTTGGAGGGATTCCATCATTCTCCTGTAAATACGCGAGGGCCAATTTGCCGCACTTTGAATATTAGTTCAGGCAACCGTGCGGCACCGATGATTCCATAAACCCGCTAAACTTGCGAGGGAGCGCTTCGAGCTTGGCGAGATACTTGGCGGAACTCTAATTATCGCCGGGAGACATTCGAAGTGACTGACGCGTCTCGTCAAGTGCATCTCGAACAATTTGATTTGCCACGCGAGACTCGGCGATCCCCGATGTTCGAGTTTTTAATTCCTACACGTGGTCCGACGCTCCTTTGCACAATGTAGGAATACCAGGTGTAACATTCCCGCGGATATGCACTTGTGACCAATCAGAAAGGCCGAGACTAGCAATCGTCAACTCGGATTGGATTGGGATTCGCGACTGACGATTGTCCTCTAGCCAATGAGAGTCGAGTAAATCGCTGGCTGCTTTGCTCTCATTGGTTAGAGGACAATCGTCAATCGCCAATCGCAATCCAATCCGAGTTGGCGATTGTTAGTCTGATTCGGCCTTTGCGAGAACACTTTTTTGACTTTGCATCATTTAGCATACTAAAACAATACATTACGCGCGCGTTATTTAACATTATCCATTAGCATTATTTTTACATTTTAAGTTGTTTCACTCTCATGATAAGTTAGTTAAGTTGAATCTTCAGCTTTTCTTACTAAATTGGTAGATATAATTTTGAATGCATTCTGATTATTTTTTCAAACTGTCTTTCATTTTTTAATTAAATTGAAACTTTGTCAGTGTCGTTCTCCTTCACTCAATTGGATGTTTAAGTTTTAACTTCTTTCTCTTTAACTTTTTGTGTATTCTCTAACTTTTAAGGCCGGTATCCATAGTCAGATCTTACATTAAAGTTACCTAATAAATATATTCATTATTCTTATATTAAAAACTGTCTCTCTCTCACTTTCTCTCTTGGATTTCTCCAAAGATGCTATATCGATTGATCTTTTTCGCAAGGTCGTATTTTCATTTTACGCAATTCGTTGTTTAAATTAAACACTCATGTAGGATCAGGATGAGCGGGTTTTAAACAGAAAAACCGGAAATTGCGTTGACCTTGCGAAAAAGATCAGTCAATATGGAACCTTTTATTGGCTATGGAGTGTCTAAAGATGATCTTGAGACGGTCTTGAATATAAGATTTGACTATTGGATACCGGTCGAAATAAATTTTTTTACAAACTGTTAAAATTCACATGCGAGGTGAAGCATGGCATGAATCTAAGCCCGGGTCTACGATAGGTGTAGTTAGCCTTAAGCCGTAAGAAATTGACCAATCACAGTCTGAAGTGAGGAGAATAATCGCTTGTGATTCATCAATTTCTTACGGCTTAAGGTTTACTACACCTGTTGTAGACCCGGGCTAAGGGAGAAGTGACGCACGCCGCACTTAGAGAAAACCAATCGGCATCGCGGAAAAGAGGCCTCGTCTGTCCGATATCAACGACATTCACGCCGGTGACATCTCTCTTTTTAGACTCTTTTAGGGATATACTGGAAAAGCTGCTATTAGATTCACGTGCTTAAACTCGCCAACGATTAACCCAGCACTCGCGCTAAAATTTCTTCAAAGGCTGAATTTAGAGGTCGTAATGGGGAAAATGTGCGGGACGAGGGCTCGTGCCCTACCATTACTGTAATCACTCGTGCTACCCGTTCGAGTCGGTGACAAAGTCGAGAGAGGTTTTGCGGTCCGGGCCCTTCCCGGGGGGGGAAGGGCTGTTTCGTTGGGCAACGGCGAGGGCGTCAGCGTCGGCGTCGGCGTCGACGTCGGCGGGGAGCTGGCTATTCATCGCCGCTGCTTTCTGGTGGCGGCGCGCGCACTTCGAGTCACGTTTGCTTCGCGCCCGCTCGAGAAGGCGAGTTTAGTAGCAGCTGCGCGCCCGCGTGCCACGCGGAACACATTGCGAAGCGTGTCGTCGCTCGTTTTACCCGACCTCGTCTATCAACCGTCGGCCGTCGATCGCCGGTAAGCCACGCCAATTCCCTATTCCCGTGCGACGATGCGGGGGGCGGGCGGTCGGGCGGGCGCGCGCCGCGCCGTCTGAATTTCGCCGCGAGTCGCCGCGGTGACGGGACTCGCGGACTCGCGCCGACACGGCCGTGAGTGCGCGAGGGCCGAGTGTTGAGGACGAACGCGTTAACGCGCCGCTTTATCGTCAATCGCGCGATCGGGGAAAAAAGGGAGCGAAGGACACCACGTGTCCGCGACCAGTGAGCGGCCAGCGCTCGTCGTCGTCGTCGTCGCGCGCGCGGGATAGCGAAAAGTTCTCCGGAGCGGAAAGGACTCGAGGTACGCTCGCGACGGCTCTGCCCTTTTCCTCTCGGCCGCTCCAGCGGGACGGAAAGCCCTTTAATCGGCCGCGTCGAGGTGATCCCTTTTCTTTCTCTCTCTTTTTTTTTTTAGAAAGATAACGTCCGCATGAGAAACGGTGGTTTTGCGGCGTGGCTCGTAAAGGGTCGGTTAGCGCGTCCCGGCACGAAATAATTCGTGTTAATTCGCCCCGACGAGGTTTATCTTCGATTCGTGTCGTCATTTACATAACGCGACGCGTTCACGTCGCCCCGAGTGCTCGTGTTTTCTTGCTCTTTTTTTTTCCTCCCTATTTCCGACGCTGTCGTGTTTGCCGAGTTGGTAACAATACAGCTCGCGGCAAAGCGCGCCGGGAAAGATCGCGTAACGGCGGAAATGAACGTCTAATATTTAAGCCGCCGCCGTCGCCGCCGAGGTCTCGCGGGTGAGGGAGAGAGTATTTCTCCAAGTATTTTGTCTATAAAACCCGTGCGATCGATTCCCGCGCGCGTACGGAGAGAAATGAAATCTGCGCGAGGCGTCTTCCGCCCTCGGCCCCGCTAATTGTAAGCGCATAAATTAGTCAAACTGTGTAAAGGTTAGGGAGTCAAGGGGGATCACCTCGACCGTGCGTCTCCTGGCAATAATTTAAGTCCCGTGGGGTGCCTCGTCGGAATATTGCCGCTTGCGGGATTATCGGTATCGCGTAAGCGGCGCAGCGGCAACTAATATTCCAAGTGCGGCGTAGATCGCGGGATCGATCGGAGGCGACGCGCGCCTCGCCCGATGATCGCGATCGAGAGGGCTACGCCGATCCGATCGCATTTACGATTCCCGTGCATTCGGCGGCGATAAACGGACACGCCCACGCCTGCACGGAGAGCAGCAGCCCGGACGCGCGGCGGACGTGGTCGTCGCCGACCGCAGAAGCGGGCTTCGGCGGGCCTCGCCGGGCGCGGATCGCATAGGACCATCTAGCCGCCGATACGTCCCTGGTGAGTATGTGTCCTTGCCGCGTGGATGAAATTATTCAAATGGTAGCCGCCGTGCAATCACCGTGCGAATACGCACGGCGGAGTGTCGGAGGTACACGCCGACCTAGCGAGAGAGAGAGATAGATTCGCGATTCCCCTTGAATCGGATTCTCGCCTCGATCGGTTTATCAAGCCATGCCAGGTCTCTCGTGTGCTAATCTCGATGATTTTAACTCGAGAGCAAACAGCCGGACGCTCGAAACTGTGCGTTTGCGACGTCCGCGGGACCATTGAGATTGAGCTTGCGTCCTACGAGAGAGCAGCCGCGCGATAATGCCCCCGAGTGAGCCGAAACCAGACGGCCGAACGCTCGAGATACGTTTACGAAAACTTTTGCCAGTGGATTTCTGTCGAGCCTCTGCACGAGAGCCTCGATAAATTCTCTGGCCGCAGAGCGAAACACGCTACGAGTTTATGCTAAGCTCGCCGCGTGCGAATAGTCCCCTCCCAGATTTCCGTCATTTTCGCGCGGATACGCAGAGAATTCAATTTTCATTTCTTCTTCAATTTAAGAGAGTTTCAAGTCTTTCCTTAATCATTTTCATAGAACGGACAGCCCGGCAGATCTTGATAACGATCAAAAGCTCGAAATGTCAAGATCATTAAGGATTAACTCGTGTCTCCAGTTAATCCCTAATCCTCGGGAACAACGGCTAGCCCTTATTATATTTTAATGCGCGATTTTCCCAGTGCGGACACCAACGTCGAATCGACGTCGATGGTGTCGAATAATTTGAGTTTCGGAACCTAATTGTTTGTATTAAATCACTACGCGTTCAACGTTCTGATTACTTTTGAGATCTCATTGGGGAGGACTGCCGAGTTAACTTATTTAATACGAGAAATAAAATTCTCAAACTTTGAATTATTTTCGAAAACTGACGGTTGGGGGACGTCGATACGACGTTAGTGTTCGATTCTTTTTACGACGCAGATACAGCTTCGGCGGAGGCCGACTTTTGAAATCGTAAAGCAGGATCTACTTACTACTTGTATCGTGTCGCAGCTCTGATAACGCAAGTCGTAATCGTGACGTCGTAATCATAGCGGAGCAATAACTCTCGTAAAGATTTGGAAACTTGGCAATGTCCGCGTTTCGCGTCGCATTCAGCTTTAGTAATGTATTTCGGAACTTGCGAGATATACACGGAGCAAATTTTCTCTCAAAAGGTATCCTGAAACTCATGCAATCGTGGGACGATATGGGCAAAATTTCCCAAAACTCTCGTCGAGTTGTTGAAAATGCCATCGTTGTCCCGCGATTACATGATTTTTGGGGTAAATTTTGAGAAAAAAAAATTGCCTCTCCGTGCACGAAACGTCCGCGTAACGTGAAGATTGCGCGCTCTAACGTTGAAATAAAATGAAAACTTGTGGGTGTGTGAATAATTACGAATACACGTGGCTATACGAGAGCGAGACATTAAATAGATCTCTTCGTTAAAACGTCATCGATCAAAGTGTTGTCGCGAAGCCAAATTTAACGTTGCCCCGTGGGAAATATACATTTTCTGGCTTACCCGCGCTTATTTTATTCAGCGCTATCAATTTTTATATAATTCAGCTGTCCGAGTATAGAGGCTGCATGTTTTTACCTGACGATAGAATAAGCTCGCTCCATAAATCATGATTTAACACATTATTTTATTTTCGTATCATACATTTAGAGCTAAATACGGCTATCTGATACCCGTAACGACGTAATAATGCGCCGGCAGATACGGATCTTTATACAAGATAAATAAAATTCAGGATCAGCGATGGCCGCATTTAGTGCTAAATGCGGAATACAAATATAGGTCGCCCTCTGTCTCTGATTAGCGGTGCATTTAACGCTCACCTGGTCATGCAATTCAAAGTTCCATCTATGTAATATGAAGATCGCGTTTATGCCGCTAGTTAAATATTAAACAAGATAGTCTCGATACGTTGCCGTTTACTGGAAATGTTTAATTGACGAGGGTGCAGCGTGCGATCACGGGCGAGACGCGCGCACCTAGACGTTCTCCCAGTTGAATTTCGAGAAATTGGTGCAAAGTTTACTTATGCGAAGAAACCAAATCGCTCATCTCTAAAACGCTCAACAGTTTTTCAATTTCTTTCACCCTGTCGGACCTCTTTCCATTTGGCATTGAGAATCCTTTCTTCGCCAGTGACTAGTTAATGCAAAGGTTTATTCGACGTATATATTTTATTTTGAAACGCGCAACGTTTCGACCGAGAATTCCGGTCCTCTTCGGGTGAAAAATGTCCTCATAACATACTAAAGTGTCAGACAAGTGTCAACAAGTCGGAATCTGAAGACTTAAAATTATCGCGTGTAGAAGAGTTGCAGAAATAAAAAAAAAACCATAAGAGTAGTGAAGGCTCCCAGGAAGAAATTAAGTGGTAAGGGGAGAATGCTAATGCGAGCCAATAAAGGAACGGAACTCAGTTCTCCCAATTCAAATGTTACAAATGTCCGTGTTAATGTCAGTAAGACTCCCTATGGTCCAGACATAAAGAGAGAAACAACTAAAAAAAAACGAAAGAAGGTGGGGTTATGAAACGAAATGAAATATAGAAATGAAACATGTTTGTCAAGATACATAAGAAAAATGATGATTACATATTTCGTATTACAGCGATCGCACTAAACTTGGAATAGACAACCGTCTGTTTCTACCAAAGGTCCTCTTCCCCATTTATTTCAATTCTTCTAACGTAATTACCTATTCACATAGTAATTTACATAATTGGCTACCTCCACCTGTGTCAGGTCCTAAATGGCATTTACGCTTGTAATTGATTTATGTCTTAAAAAGGACCGAGTTAAAAGTTAGTTGTATAATTACCCAATTAAATTTTTTAACGGCAAATTAAATTAGAATTAATTAGAATAGAATTACTTTTGATTGCAAATTGGACATTTAATTCTTGTGCATCTTGCAGAAGAGAAGGAAATTATTTGTCTAATTATTTGCCAAGTGACGGCAGTAGGTGTAGGGAGCGAAAAAGAGGATAGAAAATTCCGACAATTTCAATCTAATCCCTCATCTCGACAATTACAGATTCAATTTCGCAGAATGAATTCCTATTTGCGAGTTTCCTGTTCCAATTAATTGCATTTGTTAGATATACGTCTGATGATTTCTCCGTCTTCGAGGAGTAGCATTCCGATGAGATTCACGTATACGTCTGGAATAATAATTAGATAACTTCGCGTCGCTACTAACTGCATTAAAGAAATGATCCGGTTATTCAAGCGAACGTAACGCGACGGATATATGTACATATAACCAAACACGTATTTTACTTTCTAACGCCGTACGCTTCACAGCTGTTTTATACGCTTTACGCTCTTCTCGGTACTTTTTCCCCCTCTCTTCTCCCACGTCACCCAAAGCTCGAATATACCTTTATCTTCTTTTAAATGCAAGAAGTCTACCTGGAAAGTACAGCTGAAAGAACTCCACTTGCTATTTCAAGAAACTTGGTTTGCGAAGAAAATTCCCGAGCGAGCGAACTCGGCTTGCGCTTAGCCACGCTGCTGTGTCGTACGTGTGCACGTATTCATCGGTTATGCGAAAGAGCTCGTTCACTCGACAGAGAGAGAGAGAGAGAGAGAGAGAGGGAGTGAGCGACGGCATTTTCGTCTAATTTACGATGCAGTTAGGTGCTCGAGGAGCACTATGTCGCGTCTTAACTCGATAAATTTGTCTAATGATGGACCGTCGGAGGGCGAGAGGGAGAGAGCGAGTTATCAGGGTCGTTAATAGTACATCGCGTATTCGCAATTTGGTTTAACCGAAACGGCATAACAACGTAAGCGCCGCCGTGTCCCACATCCATCCGCCTTGACGCGGGACGATTTTTAGTCCGACGAACCCGACGACGAACAATATTGCGGCTGAATCGAAATGACAATTCATCTTGCCGCTGACAAAACACGTCGGCGGTAAGATGGATTATAATTCCATATTGAATTCAATCGTAATATTATTTGCCGCTAGTTGGCACCGTAGATAGCGCGCAAATAATTACGACGAGCGGTTTCTTCGGCCTTTCCGCCGCGTGTTTCTTGTCGCGACGTGAATATTCAACGGGAATGTTTAACGGGCAATATTCAACGAATAGTTAGCGGGAAATCAATTTATCGCCGATAATTGAATGGAACGCGACGCGTGGTAAACAAAACGAGTAAATCTAATTAGAATATCGAAATTCGGAATTGACGCTAGCGCCGGTTTGTCGAAATTAGCGTTCACAGCCGCAAAGTGAAGTAACGAGACGCCGAGTTTTCTTATCTTTTTTTTTTACCCGACAACGCGTAATAAAAGAGCGGTAAAATAGATACAAGGCTGGCTCTCTTGTTTTGACACTTAACGCTTTAATGTGTTCGATAACATGTCGCGCGAATAACATTAGCATGCATTAATAAAAATGAGCGGTGTGACCGTGACTTTTGGATTTTTAGCGATTTAGCGAGTACACCGTTTACGTCAAACAATCGATAAACGTCCCATTGACATATTCGACGTCACATTGCCCTCCCGAACGTTCGGTACAGCGCCAGCCGCCCGCGCGAATGTTAATATTTTAAACGGCGGTCTTTGACACAACGTATATCAGCACTATGTATTTATGCGCATAAAATATTCGAGAGGTGCCCAGAGTGGTTCCGCGCAATTGCGTTCGTAACGTCTTCGTAAGATAAGTAAAATATAGCTGCTCATATTTTACGATCGGCGCTTTACGCGCGCCCTGACATATGCTTACACGTACGCGTACAGGTTTATGTGCGCGCGAGAGAAAGAGAGACTACATTTATCTCTTGAGAATGAACGGCAAAAACGGCGAGCGAGAAGCGAGCTCGAGCTCCCTCGAGATCTTCGGCGTCGTCGCCGTCGCCGCCGCCGCTGGCGTCTCGTCGTAACGTCGTATACGCGCGGCTCGATCAAATCCATTTATATCGATGGGCC